GTGTGACAGCAGGCCTGTCACAGTAACAGTGTGACAGCAGGCGTGTGACAGTAGCAGTGTGAAAACAAATGAGTGGCAGCAGCCCTGTCACAGCGGCCATGTGACACGCACACGTGCATGCACACACACACACACACACACACACACACACACACACACACACACACACATCGTGTAATATCTCATTAGTTATAACGTAAACTTTATCTGCATTATACTTTGCGACTATAGCGTGGTCCATAAATAGAGAAAGATAAGCAAACTCAATAGGATTACGATGAAAGATTTGAACACGCAACAATGGCTGCCGTGGTGGGATCTACATGTGTTTACTAACGCAACAATGGCTGCCGTAGTGAAGGACCGTATATAATCGTATCAGGAGTTAATAATGATAAATGTGTCATTATTAACCCCTGATTGTATGTATACGGTCTTTGTTCATACTAAAGACCGCATAAAATTACCGTATATGGTCTTTGATGATACGACATCTGCATATACGATTACTATGGCTTTCAGCGCTCCTCGCTTTTACATTGACGGACAGTATGTTTGAAGCGTATCTACAATTGGATGTACCGGTGGAAGCTGGGTTAATAGTTAATTAGTAATCAGTGTTTAACGTCTCACTGCAGACACGCACACGCGCGATGAGTTAATCGGCTTTCCACAACGTAATTATTATAGCTTTGCCAGACCAAGTCATCCAATCGTTAATTTGCTTACAATATTTCCAGTAATTATCTCTCCTTGAGTGGTGGTAACGTGCCGCCATATTTCCAGCATTCACCGCGCACCACGCATCTTTTGTACTGCGACATTTCCCGCAGTCGGTTATTGAAGGAGTGCAATACAGGCGAGCTAATGCGGCGTGTGGCAGGGCGAGCGCGTTGCAAGCAACTCGTTGCCCTGTGTTGTGTTGTGTGGTAGCGGCAGAGAGCGCCTCGCGAATTAACGGACGCTTCTCGTTAGTGGTCCGCCGTGCATTCAGCCGCAGGGTCATACACGCGCGTTCACTCGCAAACATCAGCACGATATATATATATATATACAGGTATTCTCGGTTTATAGGACGCATTTTCCATCTAAGAAAATGTCCCCATCGAAAACTACATGTGTCTGATAAGCCGAAGGTCGGTGTAGCGGGAATTATTATAGCTATGCTTTTTTTGCTCCGATACAATATTATTATAAATCTAAAGCGGAATAGCCTACAGTGTATACTATTCAATTCTGGTAACGAGGAGCGCTTATGAAAGAGGGGGTATTTGAGGGGTACAAACAAAAAACAAACAAGGGTCCGGCCTCATTTACAGTAAGTATATGCCTGCATGGCAGTGGGGGAGAGCTATTAGGCAGTCAACACTTTTTTTCAGAATAATACCTTATACGTCGATAACAGGCCAACCGTATACGTACCTACTTATTTGAATCCGAGAGCGTAGATATCTCACTCTATAGATTTAGTGAATATAGTAATAGAATATTAGAAATAGAATAGCAATAGAGTGAAAGAGAGAGAGAGAACTAGAGCGAGAGAGAGAACAAGGAGAGAGAGCGAGAGAGAGAGAGAGAACGAGGAGAGAGAGAACGAGGAGAGAGGGCGAGAACGAGAGCGCGAGGGAGAGAGAACGAGGAGAGAGAAAGAGAGCGCGCGCGAGAGAGAAACTGTGAGCGTAAAAAGAATATGCGAACCTCACACACGCGCCTACCTGTATGAACCTGAGATCCGCCTCGGAGATGTCTGACGTGCTGTGACACTTGCGCTGCATCGCTAGCGATCGCGGCCGAGCCTTACATTTCCTCGCACCGCCGCCGCCGCCGCCGCCGCTGCCGCCGCTGCTCAGCTCAGGTATCTCCCCTCCGTCCCACAACTCGGCCATCGAGTTAGGACTCCTAGATGGACTCTTCGCCGGACTCCTATTGCCGTTAGCATTCGTCGTCGGCTCCATGCTGACGGGGCGGCGGCGAAGAGGAGGTAAAGAATTAGCAGTGGCTTCAGGTAGAGCTCCGGGTTCGATGGTGAAGATGCTGAGCTGTTGATGATGAAGATGCTAAGATGTTAATGATGAAGATGAGATGGTGATGATGAAGATGCTGAGATGTTGATGAATAAGATGCTGAGATGTTGATGATGAAGATGCTGAGATGTTGATGATGAAGATGCTGAGATGTTGATGATGAAGATGCTGAGATATTGATGATGAAGATGGGATTTTGATGAGAGTCGGAGATCGAGTAAGTCTGTAATCCGGCGGCGTTCAGCGCGTGATCAGTGCTGTTCAGAAGTGTTCAGTTATGTTCAGTAATGTTTAGGCGGTGTTCACTGGTGGTCAGAAATGTGTCGGTGGTGTTCAGTAGTGTGCAGGGATGTTCACTGATGCTCAGTAACATTTGTGGGTGTTCCGGTCGTGTCTTGTTCGGTCAGTGGCGTTCATATGTTCCGGATGTACGCCGTGTTGCTCCAGTGGTGTTAGGCGTCGTTCAGTGTTGTTCCAGTAACGATGCACTTGCGTTCCAGTCGTGATCGGTGTTGTTCACTGGGGTCCAGTAATGATCAGTGTACAACACGTTGGGATCGCCTGCTTACGTCTGACCGGGGAGTTTTCAACGAGCGAACAGATTCACGCGTGTGGATGCGAGCGCCTGGAGAGCAGCGTAACGAGCACAACCACACGGGGTAACCTCACGTCACAAGATTAACTCTCACTCTCTCTCTCTCCCGTCCTCCTCCCTCCGGTCTTAAGTTCGCGGCTGCTCGTCGTGGAGTCTGCGTGGGCGACCGTGTGCGACTCCTGATTGGCTACCTGCGACTCGATTAGAATGTTCTGATGGATGGTGATGCATACGTGTAATTTCGGCTGGCGTGGCGGTATCACTGAGTGAAGTAGAGAGGGGAAGAGAGAGAAATAGAAAGGGGGGGAGAGGGAGGGAGAGAGGGAAGAGTGCTGATGGTGTGGGAGGAGATTGAGGGAGAAAGAGTTATAGGAGAGGGAGAAATTGGGAGATGGAGAGGGAGAGGAAGGAAACGGGATGAGAGAGAAAGGGAGCGAGAGTGTGTGTGCGCGCGCGTGTGTGTGCGTGTGCGTGTGTGTGCGCGTGTGTGTTTATGTGTGTGTGCGCGCGCGTGTGTGTGCGTGTGCGTGTGTGTGCGCGTGTGTGTTTATGTGTGTGTGCGCGTGTGTGTGTCTGCGTGTGCGTGTGTGTGCGCGTGTGTGTTTATGTGTGTGTGCGCGTGTGTGTGTCTGCGTGTGCGTGTGTGTGCGCGTGTG